TTTTTTCTCAGCGTGTGACGTTTTCCCGCAGCCGTCACTTACGTGACGTGGTCGCTTTAGCGGCGTGGAAAGTTTCCATCTCCGTGACTCCCTCGTTCACCGTGTTCATCCTTCCCTCTCCCAGGCTGGTTTTGCTGTTCCTCAGCCCGCAGACCGAAGGCTGTGGTGAATTATCCAGCCTTTGACAAAGCCCCTGGTGAGACTTCAGTCTGAATGTTCAGGTCTTCAGCTAAATTTCCACCCCAATTTAAGCATCCAGAAAATCAACAACAACAGAAACCTACCTTCCTCTCCCCACTTCCCAGCATCCCTTGGTAAATTTGGTAAATAGAACCCTAAATTTAACAGCAGCTGGTACTGCATACTGAACGGACCGTCCACCCTGGTAGGGAGGATATGGTGAGAACCATGAAACAGAATGGGGAAGAAGGGTTTCTTTCCCCTGGTATCACCTCTCTCCTCTGCGGAGAGCAAATCAATGCTGTGCGGGGACTTTGGGCAGGCAGAGCTCTGCGGGGTTTGTGAGCAGAGTGGGGGTGAAGGATCAGGCCCTTTGCTGGGAGAGTTCCCTGCCCATCAGCCAAGTTTGCCAATGGAAATCCCACCAGAGAGTTGATACACTCTTTGCTTCTGTCCCCACTGCTGTTGCTTCTCTACCAGATGGTTCAGGAAACACCACGTTGGCACAGGCTTTCCAGTAGGTTTTTGAGCCATGGGGGATGGGATGGGGCAGCCGTTCACGTGGGCAACTCCTGGTGGGACATGCCAGTGGAGGTTCTCAGGCTTGAGCTTTCAACAGAAGGATGTTACCTAACTTGTCTTCATCGGTATTGTTGTGTGACACACAGACAGGCTTCTGGACAGGTATCCGAGCAAACTTCCTCTTCTCCTGGACTTGGCAGGATGAGAACGCCTACGCACCTCCATGCATAGGAAAAAAGGTTTGGTTGCAAACCACCTTCACGAAGGGGTCCTTTTTTACTGAACTTCCCTTGCATCTAGCATGTGTGTGTGTCACTGGAAAAGGCTGCAGCAGCGGCTCTCGCACAGCATGTGGAGCTTGAGGCTTAGAGCTCGGGGTACGTGTGCAGTGAGGGTGGATGGGGGTTCCCCAGCAAGTTGAGCATGGCTGGTCTGTTGCTATAAAATTATGGCAGCTGTCAGAGCCTCATCATGTGCCAGGATACAAATACCTTTTAAGTAGATGTAAAGAACGAAAAACACCTAAAGAATGAAAACCACCCAAAGAATGAAAAACACCCAAATGTCAACATTATCTACTGTATGCATAGTCAGTGAATATTGTTCTCCAAACAAGGCAGCCAGTGGTGACTTTCTGTTCCTTATGTTGTGTTTGTTTGTGCACAGTCTTTGGTTTGTATCCTATGTCATTTTCATTTCACTCATTAAGCACTTCCGTGTTTTCAATGCTGTCACCTTCAGTTCAGGGGCTACTGTGCTGGTTTTGGCCCGTAGAAATGATTCACTAGCACTAAAACTATTTGGCTACTGAAATTTTTGGAAGGGTGGGCCATAACTGAAGTACTTTTTTTAGCCCTTTCCACTATCTAGTGCCCATCTCCGTTTGTGCATTTAGACTCAGGGGACCACAGGTCTCAATTCTGTGCCCTAAATTAAGCCTAGACGCCACAGCCAGCAGCCTGGGGCAGGGGTCTGGTTTTTCAGAAGGAGTGAGCTGACTCCCACTGGGTCCAGGGGTAGAATGTGGTTTCCAAAATAGTAGCCACAGGGATTTGTGTTTTCAAACTTTTTTTTTTCCCCTTCTTTTAACCAGCTGTGCCATAGCTTTATAGCTTACAAATATTGTAATTTGGAGGCCTTACAGTTAAAGCTGGATTGGTTCTTACATGGTGTAATTAAAATTTGAGCCCACTCTGAGGCGGAATGTAACATCAGCAAAAGGGTTAAAATAACTTGTCTTAATAGCATGCTCCCTGGTGTTCCACTGTGCTCTTCTAAGCCAAAACTCCTCTTCCTTGTCAGCAAGAAGTGGAGGTGGCAAAACAAAGTTTTTATGCAGTAATGTCACCTGTAAGTTTTATTTGCCTGCCCTGGCAAAAGAACAACCAAGCAAAAACAGTAACAAGAGAATTGTGGTATTTTCCCCAACGCATTCACACAGTCCTTTTGTCTTTGCTCACACTAAGCTGCAGGCCCATCTACCTTTCCACAGTGGTCTAGACTACCTTCTTGTTTGATGAGGGAGGGTACTGACATCTTCACATCAGACGCTTGTTCTTGCACACAGGATCTGGGAAGAGGGAAATAAATTCTGCAACGTAACCCTACCCCCTCCTGCAAGGCCGTTGAGGGGTGCTTTTTCTCTTATCAGGCTGCAATAAATATCTCTTCTAACGACTCTCTTACTTCCAACCTTTCCAGTATGGATGGAGAAGAACCAGGCATACCTTGCAAAACCAGGAACACTTATGTCTGCTTTTGGGGGAGTGGGACAAGTGTCAAGAGTAATGAAGTTGTGCTATGCTCTTTGCTGAAGTCCTTACTGTTTTTCTTTAGGTACAGCGTGCCCTTCCTGTGCTAAGTGCCCTCTCTTCAAGAGGGGGAAAATAACCTAGTAGGTGGCTTAAAGGAGCCAAACCGTAGCCAATTTACCCATTTGGCTGTGTGCGTGTCTCAGAGCCCAGGCCTGTATGTCTTCCTCATCCAGTCATCTACCAGCACATACATGTGAGATATTCACCCACTCCTGCAATCGTATTACCACATTTGGGGGGCTATTTCTCCATTCCTAACTCCTCCATTTCACCTTGTTTCATTTGCTTTGTATCAGGCCCACCAGTATCGTTATGACTAGCACAATGTTCTGTGTAGGCGTGAGGCAGATTAATATGGCAAAGCACAACACTGACTATGGTGTGAAAGGGTTAGCCATGTATGGCATGTGGAATATTACAGCAGCAACACTTTGTTAAGCATACAACTACTAGCGACATAATCAATCGTGGATACATCTCACTGTGCTCTCGCAACGTTCTCTGGGGGGATTTACAAGCTGTTCTGCCCCTCCACCAAAGCAGGCAGGCTGGATGTAAAGCTACCTCAGCTGGAGGAAACCAGTAGGAACCTAGTAGCTTGGTCTAGTGCAATGGAGCCTATGAAGAGTATTGTCCAGTATTTCCTGCTGGGCAGAAAGAAGAGATTGGGACATTACTAAATATAAATAGCAGGGAGCTCTGTCTCTTAAATACTTTACATGTTCACAACCTTGGCTGTACACAGCATGCAGGATGTTGGGGGCTTTTTTATTTTCCCTATGACCGTGCTTTCCCCAAGTGAAACTGTGTACCTTGCTTTTGTAGAGCTGAGAGTCCTGATGCACATGGTTACAGATCACATATACTGCATGAAGAGGGAATATTATACATAGTGGGAAAGAGGAATATTATACATAAATGTAAAAGCAGAGTATAGTGGAATTGCCTAGTGCCTCCCATAGTCAGCTGAGTTGCAGTCTGGCAGGAAACGCTTATGGAGGCAAGGCAGCATGCAGACTTCTGCTTAAGCCCCACCAAAGGCGATCTTCACTTGTCCTTCTGAGATGTCCTGGTTTCGATAAAGCGAACACAAATTCAGTCCAAGGCTCCCCAGACACAGTCCTTCCTCTGGAGGCATGTGTGTTACCCTGCCGGCACTAACAGTAAGGTGTGGTGGGGCTGTGTCACAGGAGTGTGTCTTTGTTGTCTTTCCCATTCAGAAGCAAGAGGTGAGCAAGTTCCTCTTGGGGGCTGGTGTGCTTTTCACAAACTTCTTTTGTTAGGAATGTACCGTGTTCTCTGTGACAGAGCCGCCTCCAGCGCCTATAAAATTTCGGGAGTTAGCCGATGGCAGGGAAGGCTCCACCTCAGGGCTTGGTACCTCTTCTTTGGTGTCTCCCACCGACTCCTGCGAGCTGGTCTCCGGGCTGGAAGCTGCCTGGAAGCCAGGCTCAGCGCTGAGGGGCTCGCTGTTCTGCAGGGGAAGCAGGGCCCGGTGCCGCATCAGGCTGTCGTCGCTGTTCTGGGCCTCCAGGGAGTTCCTGCGCTTGGCGTTCCTGTTGGCCATGGCGTTCTTCTGCGGCTCCTCGAAGCTCAGCGACAGGGTGACCGTGCCGCTCCCAAAGCTGACTTTTTGCTTGCACCCACGCTGCTGCTGGCGCTGCCGCTCAGCAGAGGCTGGTAGAGGAAAAGGGTCTTCATGGTTGCTCTTGCTACTGATGGAGGAGGAAGGGGTGGAGCCGGTGGAGCCCCCCAGGCTGTTGGAGCGTTTGCGCGACACGTTGCTCCGTCTCAGCGTGGCCCTGGCAGCCACCTTGAAAGCATGGGCAGCCGTGCTGCAGCGCACCTCCTCGATTGTGTTGCGGGAGGGCTTGAAGAGGATAATGTAGACTTTGTTGAAGAAGATGCAGGCCAGGAGCCCAAAGCTGGCAGCCAGTATCGCAATCACCTCCACAGCAGAGACAAACTTGCCGTATGTGCTGGCATAAGCAGGGATGAAGGAGATCCAGACGATGAAGAAGATCAGCATGCTGAAGGTGATGAACTTGGCCTCGTTAAAGTTCTCAGGTAGCTTTCGAGACTTGAAGGCAAAGAAGAAGCAGATGGCTGCCAGGAGGCAGGTGTAGCCAATGAGGAAGCCAAGAGCCATCAGGGAGCCTTCGTGGCAGGGGATGAAGATAATCTCATCCTCCAGTTCATGGTTTCGGTAACTGGATGGCGGGGCCGTGTAGAGCCAAATCACACAGATGACAATCTGCACGAATGTGCACAAGAAGACCAGGAGGAACTGGAGGTTGAGGCCCCACCACTTTCGGTGGAGACTTGTGGGGATCTTTGCCTCGAAAACGAGCAGGACACGGTTGGTTTTCACCAGGATGCAGGAGATGCAGAGGACAAAGCTGATGCCGAACGCTGGCTGCCGCAGACGGCAAGTCCAGTTCTGGGGCTCACCAATGAAGAACAATGAGCTGGAGAAGCAGCAGAGCAAGGAGAAGAGGAGGAGGTAGGACAGTTCCCGGTTTGTGGCCTTGACGATGGGCGTGTTGCGAAATTTGGTGAAGACTCCCAGGACAAAAGAAGTCAGGAAAATTCCCAGCACAGCAAAGAGAGTCAGAGCGATCCCAAAGGGCTCTGTCCAGGACAGAAACTCTATCTGCTTGGGGATGCAGGACGTGTGGTTCTCATTGGACCAGTAATCCTCAGGGCACTTGTCACAGGCACTTGCATCTGAAAAAGAAGTGAAAGGGAGAGGGAACGTTTGTCAGAATGAGAGGCCGAAATGTGGAATGACATATACGGCAGTTACGCACCGTCCTTCACCTTAAATGCATGGGATGTTCCCTTCAGGTACCTCCAGATTCCCAGAATCCTATGTTGGTGTCTAAGAGTGTTTTACACTGAAACAACCAGCCTCCCATGGGCAATATAGCAAAACACAAAGCATGCGTAGTTCCAGCTTAAAAGAAGTCCTGCCCCACCACTTGTGTTTTTGGAATCCATTTCTTGGCAAAACTTTGCAAACTTTGATTGCTATTGGCTGTTACACAGGCTCTGCCCCTCTCTCTTTCTTGTTCCTTCATTTTTACCATCTACCTCTGCCTGTCTTCATACCTCTCACACTTTTATCATAATTTGAAACATCCTGCCTGTCTCTATGACAGAGAAAATTAAAAATCTGCTAGCCTCCTTAAGTGCTTTGAGAGCCTATTTCGTATTCCACAGAGGCGAGTCTCAGAAGTGTTTAAACTGCTCTTCCCTGAAGGCAGGCAATGCCCTTGACTCCCAGCACACTCTCATTTCATGTTGGAACATCAGGGGAAGATGCGTCTTAGCGATATCACTCTCCCCACACCCAGCAAAGCATCCCACTGACACTTGCAAAGGGAAAAGTGATGCCTCCATTGCTTTCCTCTACATGAAACTAGATGCACCTACTGGGATGGCAACGTATGCCTCCAATGGCTGCCATGATCAAGAGGCAAGGACCTGCTGCTTCTGCTCTTCTTCTTTGACCCAAATGGGTCTTGTACTCCAGTGGGGATGGTCATGACTCCCTTGATGGCAGTGGAAAGGGGTTGAGAGCAGTGAGTTGGAAGTCATAACCTGCCTCAGCCTGTGGGATCCTAGTGGGATAGCAATGGGCTGCAGTGAGTTTGGGGAACAAACATTCAGAAAACCTCTTTAGCAGCAACCTCCCTCTGAGCTTTGCACCTGAGCACGGAGAGAGACTCAGCGTAGCTCCCAGAGCAGAGCTTGATGCCAATGAGGAAGCCAGGAATGACCAGCTAACGAGGGCAGAGGATTTCAAGCTCTCTTGTTCTGGAGGGGTGGTTGGAGGGAGTGTCCGTGACCTGATATGATACTGCTTTCCTAATGACTGGTTGCCTCACCTAAGCTGTTCATGTGAAAAACTTGCACTAGGTGCAAAAGCTCTGTCAGAAGCTCCCATCGCCACATGTCATTTCATTTACATCCATTCAGCTTCTGCCTTTTACCTGGAAGCCTATTGCAAACTGCAGGCAAGGCAGAGCTAATTTCACATAGCAGGGAATTCAACCACGTCTACCAGAGACAGGGGCAGCTATTTAGCACTGCATCCTAAAGAAGTGCTTTCACTGTTGTCTGGGGCTGACTTGCTGTGCCACTGAAGGGAGTAAACCAGATCTCCCTCCTCCCCCAAAGCTGCTCATTCCTGCCCTCTCCTTTGTGTTAGCACTATAGGTCATGCAGCTTCTCATTCTAAGCTGGAAAGTCAACCTGCCAAGAGTTTGTTTTAGAAAGACCAGAGACCTGATTCAACTCGCTCTACGGTTGCATGAGCACCAGCACTGCTCCCAGACAAAAGGTAGGAGCAAACAGCTGGGAGAGGACACGACAGATTGTCTCCTTCAGCAGTATCACTGTCTCAGCTGGATGAGACTGATTGTAAAACTGCTCTCTACGCCTATAAAACTGGCAAGCACAGGAAATACTGAGCATTACTCTCACGTGAAATTGCAGCAGGAAAGTGCAGAGTCAGAAGGCAGTCACCCCCTCAGCCCTACAAATTTCACCAGCACACCAGTGCCAGCTCCCAAAATCCCGTGAAAAACACCAAAAGACCCATATAACCAGCATGGCTTGCTTCTATTTATTTCGAAAATGCTTCTCCCAAGCATCCTGTAGTACTATATGTTCATGCTAAAAACATCATCATTCCTGTCTGTTAGGATGCAAATTAGAGTCTCCCAAAGGAGTACACTTGTTCAGTCTTGCAAGCAGCTTACTGAAGTTTTCATCTCGGGCAAGGTCTGCAGCATGCGCTGGGACCAGTGCTGCCAGCGAGTGTGTGTGGAGGTCCTGAGTGCTCTGCAGTGTGGAGGGGACTGCTGTTCTGAAAAGATTTACTTGCCTTCATTACTGTGGGGTTGCCCAACACTGAGGGAGCACTAATGGCGTTGGAAATTCAGAATTTTTCAACCAACTTTAAAACTGAGGTTACCTTTTCCCTTCACTGTAGAACCTGAGCAGCTTGATCCAAGCTCCCACTGAAGCCAACAAAAAAGATGTCCATGGGTGTTTGATAGGACCCAGAGATTCTGGGCTCTTGCAGTGCCAGTGCTCAACAGAAGCTGTGGTTGGTGACCCATAAAGGGAAATACTCCTCTCTGCTTGTGAAGTCAGGGATGGAATGGACTTTATAAAGCATGAAATAAAACCCTGGCAACATGAGGAAAAACAGACGGGTGACTAGAGAATTTAGGATTAGGGTACGGAGTGTCTCCTTCCTCCAGGCTTTTGGAGGAACAAAAGCTATGGCTGCAGTGCAAGGGAGTTTGCTTGTGGCTGCCTGAGAGGCTCCCTATACGCGAGTCCTTTTTCAAGTTCTCTGCCTTAATTTTCCTAACTCAGAGCAGAAGGGACAAGCAGGCTTAGCAGAAGACAGGACCTGAGGACCACAGGACTCCTGCAAGCTTTTCCGAAGCCCCTCCAGACTTTCTGTGAAGTCTCGTGGCAGAGCAGCCTCCAGCTCAGCACTGCAGGGAAGCGACTTCAGCACAACTGCAGGTGATGCCCAGAGGGCTCGCACGGGCCTCTGCAAACCCCAAAGCAACTCTGTGGGTATTACCTGTTTCATCACTGTACTCCCCGTCGGGGCAGTCCACGCACTCGAAGCAGCAGGTGGGCTCTCCCTCAATAATGCCCTTCCTGGTGCCCGGGAGGCAGTCCCTGCTGCAGTTAGAGAAAGGCACCTGCAAGAAAAGAACCCGAGGAGGGTTAATGGTGGCAGTGCCCCATGTACAGCCTTCCTACAGCAAGACCTTGGGCTTACTCCAAGGGTGTTATTGTTTTATTAGCACGCTGGATGGAGAGCCTCAGAGGCTCACTTATTCTTTCCACAGAACAGACATGTCTTGTACAATAGTCCTTCCCCAACCCACTGTAGTGATATTTGTCTGAAGGATCACATCAAAGGATGGTAGGGAGGATCAGCAGATCTCTGTAATCTCTACTGTGTTGTGGGCACTGCAAACCTGTGTGTGGCCCATGACACATGTACCAGAAAAGTCATTAGATGGGTAAAAGAAAAGACAATCAATCTCTACTGGCAGGAATTTGAGTCAGCCTTGGAGATGACTGCTGATCCCCAATCCCATATATATTGCATATTGACTGCTAATGATTTATGGGAATTATAACAGTACCTTGAAGCCCACTTCCTCCTGTTCTCCTGAAGACCCTCTCCAACCCAGAAACATAAAAGGTAAATTAACTAAACAAGAGTGTTCATATGAAAGAAAGGAAGGCCCTGTTTTTAGAGCACTGAGCACCTAAAGATGCACATCAGCAGCTATATGCAGATCCAAAAAGGACACCTTCACATGAAGTACACCTTAGGTCTTCCATGTCTAAATTAATGGAAGGGACCTGTAAAGCCCACAGCTCACCGCTGGTGTTCCTGAACTTCCATCAGAAAGGTTACTCAGCCTTCCAGACTTCTGCTGTTGCAAATGACGAGCTGTGTCACCTGCTGGCTGTGCATTTATGCTGTGCGTGAGCCCACCCGGACATGGTCATATCCTGGCAGCGAGTGGTCGCACGGGCATGCTCACCACATGCTTAATGGACACTGACAACAGGGAGTTCAGCACAATAAGTGGAAGTCTGGGCCTTTTTTTCATCAGT